CCCCCCCCCCCCCCCCCCCCCCGGCCCACAATGTAACAAGATAAAAACAGTCAGCCAGCTACTTCTGTATGACAAAGCAATTAGATTAGGTGTTGAAGGTCTTGCCTTAAATTTCAGTACCTGCGTGTCCTCGAGAATGGCATTTAAACTCCCTGGGTCTCAGCTTGGTCCTCTGTAAAATGAGGAAGGGCTGGATTAGATAATCCCCAAGATTTTTTTGGCTCTAAATTCATGAATTAAAAAGATTTTGTGAATGTCATCATTGTGAGAAAAAAGGACTTGTCTCAGGAAAGCCAGAGGGCAGTTTCTTGGATCAGAGGGCCAAAAAGGAGTCCAGTAACCCTTGAGCAACTGATTGTATCTGCCTGATGGGATCTAGATTGCTGTTCATGTGTATTTCTCCCATGAGAATATGTACGAAGTGATCCTGGATAAATTCCATGTGTTTTCCATGAGTGAGAGCAAAATTTTGTCATGTCCTTTGCAACTTTAAGGGAAGATTTCTCTACTATGGACTCTTTTTTCTGTGGTTGCACTAAGCACAAGCCTTCTGACATTTCAGTTCATCAGAATTAGTGGAGCTTGAGTAGAATTGAGTCTCAGCTGTTGTTGGAATTTTGGCTATGAGTGGCAAAAGCTGGAAGGAAGGAGGTGGCTGTTTGTACTCAATGGGCAAGGGATTGCTTTTAGAAGACTTCTAAGTCAGTCTTTCATCTGTCAAGTACCTGTGTGCCAGGCACTGGGAGGGTAAATAGACAAAAAAAAAGCAGTCCGTACCTTCAAGGAGCTTACATGATATGGAGGGGTAGGGTGGGCTAAAGGGGAGGGAAACTATAAGTAGACCAATAAACATAAAATACATATAATTTCAGTGGGGCACTACCAATTGAGAGGATGAAAACAAGACTTGTTTAGAAGGTGATACCTGAACTGAGTCTAGACCTAGGAACTCTACAAGGCAGAGGTAAAGAGGGAGCACATTCTAGGCATGGGGGTACCTGATGCAAAGGCAGAGAGCCTGGAGAGGTTCTATTAGGTACATCATAAGTGTATAATAAATGCTCAGCTCTGTTTAGCTTAATAAATAGCTTAGTACATATTAGCCATTATTATTGTGACATCAGGGATGCTTGTGTTTGTGAGTAAGGGTAATAAGAGGGCCACATATAAAACTGCAGGAATTAATAAGATCTGTCATCATGCTCTCCACCCCACCCCATTACAGGCAGAACAGTTTCTATCAGTCTTTGCTTAAGGTCTATCCAGGGGTGGGGAACCTGCTGTCTCGAGGACACATGTGGCCCTTTAGGTCTTCAAGTGTGGCCCTTTGACTGAATCCAAACTAAACAGAACAAATCCCCTTAATAAAAAGATTTGTTCTGTAAAACTTGGACTCAGTCAGAAGGTCGCACGCAAGGACTTAGAAGGCCACAGGTTCCCCACCCCTGGTACTGTCTGAAGGCATCAGTGTAAGAACTGAAGATTCTGCAATTGAGGACTGAGAAAATATACCATTGGCTCCTTTCATTCTTCAATTTATTCAATACTACTAATTAATTAATTTAATTCAATAGTAATCAATGAAAGGAAGGACAAAATAGCTTATCATGTAAAAATATCAATTTCATTCTCCCCATTCTCTTTGTCTTCAAAAAAGCAACCTACCACAGGGGTCAGAACTTTAAATTAGCATAAAAAAGTGGTCTATATAAAAGTGACCTATTATGGCCTCGATTTTCCCACAGGAATGAATAAATTATAGAAAGGCTAAGATTCGCAAGTTTCCCATTAGTCCTTGGAGGCTGGCTGTCCTTTCTACCCATAGGTAGGACTTTCAGAATGAAATTATATTTTGTTTCACCATGATTCAAATCATGATGAGAATAGTTCTCCAGCTGCTCTTTTCCCCAGCATAGCTGAAGTCCCTTTGGCACCACTATATCCCCACAGAGGACATGGGCATCTCACTGGACAAGCAGACACAGACAGGCAGGGGTAAGAGACCAGAGACCCTGCCCTGAGAGGTAGAGCTTTATCTGGGAGTGGACTATTGCTCTGGCTGAGGGCTGTGGTGCAGCATGGCACGTAATGGGCAGGCAGGCAGGCAGGTGAAGAGACTGAGGCACGCATATCCCAGCTCCTCTGACCAAGCAGAGGGGCCAGGGCTGGGGCTGGAATTGGGCTTCAAAGTAAAATCTTGGAATGCAGTCCTTGTCTGGTTCTCATTTTCTGTCTCAGCAAGGTTTCCTCCACACCAGCCCTCCCTGGAAAAATCCACAAGCAGAACTGAATTTCCAGGTCAAATGGCCACTTCTCATTGTTCTGAGTTCTTCATACTGAGGTTGGGGTCTCCTTGTTGCTCCTTCTCTAAGGAATGCCGCTCCCCATTCATTTCCTGCAATGGATGGTAGGCATACTCTCCATCCAGGCGCCTCCTGGATGCTCTGGAGCCAAGGACAAAAGTCACATTAGCAGCAGCACTGAGTAGCAGCAAGAGAGCCAGGGCCAACGTGAGAGACAGCCAAGCTGTCCTAAGGGAAAAAAGAGAGATCAAGAGAATGATTACAGTAGCTCCTCTCCCTTCCTTCATTTTATTTTTCTCTTCCTGAGTGTGAAACATAAACAGAGGGTAAACTTTCCTCGTAGCCTCTGGGTTCAACTTTGCCTCCTGGGTCCATAAGTCAGACAGGGCAGATAAGGAATGACAAATTTTCCCCCTCCCGAAGCAGGGAACCTGCTTCCCCACAGTGCTAGACAAGACAACACTCTTAGGCCTAGCCCTTCCTAAGCCAGTCCTGTCAGGTTCTATGCACCAGGGAATTGGAAATTGATGCCTCCCACTTTAAACAGTCTGCCCCCACCTAGTTTTTTCATTTTAAAGAGTTGAAAGGAGGTGTCCCACAATCTGTGAGCCCAGGACTCTGGGTCATCAGTAGACCTCATGGCATTGGCTGCAGGTCTGTGCCTCTTTCCAGTGTCATATTCTCATGGGCTCTTGCCTGGATTCTGAAGAGAGGCTTTGATGAAGCATCATTGACACCTGCACCCAGGCCTGTGGCATTCCACTGGGAAGGAACTGACTGTTCTTGCCCAGAAGTCAGAAGGGAACATACAACCTATGAAACCTTCCTTTCCCCTTTTCCCCACCTTCCTTAGAGATCCCAGTGGTGCACAGCTGAAACCACCCTGCATTTCCAGGCCTGGGGATTAGCAGAGAAGGAGCACACTCTCCCACTGCCTCTACAAAAGTAAACTCTTTTTTAACCAGACCTGTGATTTCATCTACACAGGGAACTCACAGTAAGAAAATGCCCTCCACCAATGTAGATCAGCATTTATTCTACTACTACTTGCCTGGGTGCCCTGCCCAGAGGTACAGAGCCAATATGTGTTAGAGGCCAGACTTGAAACTAGGTCATGCTGAGAGTAAAGCTTTTCTGTCTACTACACTAGCTGCCTCTACAAGCCAATCCACTTTCTAGGTGTGGTGGTACAGACCTGTATTTCCACCTACCAGGAAGGCTGAGGCTGCCAGAGCTCTTGAGCTTCAGAGTTCTAAGCCAATCATGTGTCCTCTCTAAGTTCAACATTACTATGGTGAGCCCCTGAGGGCAGGACACCCCAACATTGCCTACGGAGGGGTGAACCAGTCCCAAGTTGTAAATGGAGCAAGCCAAAGTCCTGTGCCAGTTGGAATGGTCCCAGTACTCCAGCCTTGGCAAGATATGGAGACCCAGTGTTAAAAAGCAAATAAAAGCCAACCTACTTTGTGAAGTAGAGGTGTTCTTCATTCCTTTTAGGTACCATGGAAGATGCAAGACACTGGCCAACTGCAAAATATCCCCCATCCCCAAAGAAAAGTTGAGAGGCGTGGGGAGAATGGCCTTCCCTCCATCATTACTGCACCCTCCAACACTCTAAAGATAGTTGTACCTTGGGAAAGGATGTCCCACACAGTGGAGGTGAGGTTGCAGCTGCCAGTCTTGGGGTCACAGGGACACGAGCTCTCACATGTGCAATTATGCTGGCAACTTGGGCCATACCAACCTAAAGGACACACTGAAGAGAGGGAAGAAGAGAGTAAAGACCACAGCACAGAGACCCACCTTTCTTCATATCAGTATCCCAAGCTGCTTCCTTTATTATC